TTCTATTCAACTCTTTTGCGTGCATAGTTTTTGTCGTTCTATTATCTTCCCATCTCTCTGTTTGCAGTCTATATCTATACACCATTTACCACTGCAACCTTCATGGTGCCAGTAATTAGTTATCTGTCTGTCTGTTCACTGGCTGTAAACCCCACTGGAAAGTCCTCGGTGACTGTCCATTTCCAGACCTTGTCTTTGTTCAAAAACCTGAGTTTTGTGTGTGCGCCCATTTTACAGATCTGGCCTAATTGTATACAGACTCTTGGTTCCTTGCCTCTAGTCTCTAAAGCAGATGCACTCTGATTTCAAAGGAATCCTCTAATTTGTCAGCTCCTATGACATGCTTGTTGGGGAGACTGGGCCTGTTTTTGTTTTCCCAACAATGGGGCCCCAGAACCCAGAAAGGGGAGTTAGTTAGTTGTGTATCTTTTAAAGGACACTGCAGAACCAACTGTTGTGGTTTTTCTAGGCAAGTTTACACCCAGTAGTTTGCCACTGTTAAAAAGGGGAGTAATTAGTGGTAATCTAAACACATCAATAATTTTGTTGTTGCTGTTTTATACCTGAAGTTCCCTTAAAACACCAGTAGAACACCTTAAAGTGCACAAGCATATGCTAAACACTGTAATGTTACTAATAAAAGTTAAAAGTTAAGGATGAGAGGTTGACTTAATTGCACCGGGTTTTATCCCATATGGCTCCGTCTCTCTCAGCAGAACACCTAGCCGCCTACAGAGAGCACCGCACAGAGCATGAACTCCATAGCTCCGGTGACAATCCCCAGGGATCTCCGTTATAACTGCACTTGTCAAGTGAAGGGCGCAGCCGTGGAATGAACCCACGATCTTCAGAGCGCGAGGCAAACGGCTTGACCACTTCACCATAGAGACCCCCTTTGTTACTAAGAAAAATGCCAAAATACAACTGAATGTTAAATGTGGAATGATCATCAAATAATGCATCAATTATCAAACAACAATACAATGTTAGATTTTATACACAGCTCAACACTGGAATTATACTTCTATGCTTAAATGGCAATCCACATTGGTCAAGAAAAGTGCTTGTGATGAAAAAAGGTCACACCTTTTGTGTTCTTTTGTGAACAGAACAACTGCATTTTATCAAATGAAGAACATTTTATGAAATAAATCCATGTCATGGAAGCGCAGAAATTCTTGCATGCTGTTTAGAGCCAGTCCTAACATGTGTCTATAGATCCTGGACACTTATTATATTGATAAATTAAATAATCTCTTGAGATTGGAGTTTTACAGTAGAATGCTGACAATTTCTTGGATAGCCAAAATGAGTCATCCAGATATTTTGAGAAAGGCGAGGGCCTGAAAACCATTTATCACAAATATCAAAAGGAGACAATCATCATTTTTTGGGGCCATTTAATGAGAAGAAACAAACTGAAACATGGTGTGACCACTGGAAAGATTCGTAGAAAGAGTGACAGGGGTAAAGTAAGGTAAAGGTAAAGTCGGGAGATGTGAACCAGCGTCATTGCACGCGGTTATGAACCATAAGTGCTCTGCCACCAGTAAGGACAGCTGATAAGAAACTGTCCGCCTGTGTCGCCGTCCGCACGCAACTCCGTAGCTACACGACGTTCCTCCATTTACCCCAGAGTGTTGACTCTGGTAGACATTACCTAGAAGCTGGGTGAACTCCGGAAACCGCCCGGTTTTGAAGACCGACCTTTGGCTGCAACCAGTCGCAGCTGGATTTGAAAGCGAGGCTCCTCTCGACTGCGCTAATGCGGCGCCTAATGAGAGTGACAGGGGAAGACAATGTGAGAAGATGCTCAACTGTCTTTTGTCATGGCACTGAGGGTTGTCACTACATGAACCGATTCATGCTGCTAAAGATCGCAGGTTACAGAGAGACATGATCGCCCATGCCAGTCAGCAAGGCACTTGATGATTAGCTGAATTTACATTGCAAACTGGACACTACAGGCTTTGCTGCCATATGTACAGGAAAATCAAGGTTAGGGACAAAACTTTGCCCCATGAGGACAGACACTGCACAACACTGGCCATGTACTGCAGATGTGCTATCTACATGTAGTAGGGAGATGTCTGGTCTGACCAATTAAGTGTTCCAATGGAAACGAAGCTGTATGGATCAGTGGAAGACATGTGTTGCACTATCACCTTCACTGAGACCTCTGGCCTTCTCATCTGATGGCCAGGGCAAGGATAAAGAGAAGAAAAGAGATTGAAGTATTACCAAAATATGCATACAGTATTAAAACAAACAATAGTTAGCTATTTAAATAATGCGGATACAAACAATACTTTGCACAATTTATTGCCAGGCATATTTTGCTGTATCTCTTCAGGTGCGAAATATGCCTGGCAATAAATTGTTCAATGTGTTGTTTGTATTTGCATTATTTAAATTCATTACGGGAAAAAACCGTTTTGAATAGTTAGCTATGCCTAGAATTTTCAACGGGTTTTAAAATGTGAAAAAAATCTGCAGACCCTATCCCAGATAGGCTATGTATAACAGATATTCTAAAAACTATGTAACTAATTTTACATTTATATTTTATATGCGGGGAAATGAGAAACTAGAACTAAATAATTAATTGTATGCAACAGGAGAACGTACTGTTGGAAGCAAAATCGGATCACTCATTTTAAAACAGGGAGGGAAAAAGAATCAGATAGAGAAAAAGATAGATATACAGACAGATTAGACTGACAGCTAGGCAGAATGGCAGTCAAACTACATGCAGATGAACAGAAATTCACATCAGAAGGCATCTGAAGCTGAACAGGTATGCTCAGGTAATCTGACTCGGACATGTATTAAACAGTCATGCTGTACTGTATTGTATATATCTTTCTAAATGAAAAAGCACCACTGTATTCCAACAATAAATTCAAAGTACAAACACAACAAGGTTTTAATTCCGCCCATTTCTCTTCAAAAAAAAATGTTATCTCTAGCAGCAAATTTTGCTCCCGTTTATACAGTCTTGCCATTACATAATGACACTGGTATTATTATGTCACAGAAAAAGACCATTTCATGCCCTTAGACATAGTGCTATACCTATATTTCTAAACTAATCTCTATTCAGTAGGTGATGTGGTCAATCCCACTCAACCCACCTTTACTTCCCAGGACATTACCATAGTATCCATTTATGGCTGGATCGACCAGGTGGGTAAGGTCATTGTTGAAAAGAATCAGGTTCAATGCGGATTCGAACCCACAATTTTGGACCTGATAGTAAGCGTCTAGTCGCTACACCATGGCAGCACCCAATTTTGTTATACACAAATCAAAAATGCCACTCATGAAGCAATATCCAAATATCCATTATTCATCTACGATCTGACAAAGTTGTAACGCCACCCGGTCAGCAGATGATAAGTAACCTGCTAGTTCGTTTAGCTAGTGAGAGTTGTGCAGTTACTGTGCAGCATGGACAATGAGCAAACATTAAATTACGTTTTAAACTCAGAAAAGTGCTCCTGAGACAGCTGAACTGATTAGACAAGTTTCAACGGGTCAATGTTTACACAATTCTACATCAAATTCATCCACCAACATAATCACAGTCAGACGTCAATCTTCTTGTTTATCATTACGATCAGAAATTGGACATAACAGGATAGCTTCAATCTTTTCCACACCAGTTTTGAATCATGAACACCACATGAGTGTATGTGTGTGTGTGTGTATGTATATATGTGTATATACACACACACACATACACACACAATGAGAGATAGTTATCCATAAATTTATCTCATCAATTCAACTGTCTCAGTAGCACTTTTTCAATTTTAACACGTAACTTAATGTTTGCTCATTGCTCCTTGCAGCATACATAACAAAGCAACTCTCATTAGCTGAACAAAATGGTGGGTTATGTGTCGTCTGCTGACCATAAAGCCTTGCAACTGGCCAAATCAGAAACAAATGGTGGCTGTCTGGATAACATGCTTTGCTTCATGGATGGTATTTTTGTCTAGGTCATAATAAAATCAGTTTTGTTATTTAATTACAGGACTGTGTAAAACTGTCAAGAAAAGAAACCAAGCCTAATGGCCAGCTTCTATCCTTATGCTAATAGTCAATCAATCAGGTGCCATCACCAAAAAGAAGGTTGGCCACAATGGATATCCAACACTCTCTCTTGCCTTGGTTGTAGACTCTCTCAGATAGCTGTTCATTCATTTCTTAAAGCTATCCTCCTATTCAACACTGCTTACCTGCCTACAACCTTTAATGGTTTTTTATTAGTGTTACACCTTTAAATATGGCCAAAATATTTTACTTGTCTCTTTATCTGATTACTTTCTACAGCTCACTTGTCATTCCTGGTCCTCCCAAAACATTTGTACTGGATAGTTCTTTACATGAAGTAGTAGTACTTCTTCTTCTTATTCATCTGAAGATGTAAATGTATTGTGCCCATTTACAACATTACCTTGATAATACTTCTGAAATAATTTCTCATATATCTATACCTATAATCCTCATACACCTCTGACTGTTACCCTCATATACTTCTACAAATATTTCTAATAAATCTATAACTATGATCCTCATACACATTACCCTCATTTATTTCTACAAATATTTCTCCTAAATCTATACCTATAATCCTCATACACATTACCCTCATTTACTTCTACAAATATTTCTCATAAATCTATACCTATAATCCTCCTATAGCTCAGCCTGTTACCCTCATATGCTTCCACAAATATTTCTCACATATCTTTACCTATACCTCTGCCCATTACCTTTATATACGTCTACAAATATTACTCACACATCTTTGCCTTTAATCCACAAACACCTCTGCCTATTACCCTCATTTACCACTAAAACAATTTTCTCATATATCTTTACCCATAATCCCCATACACATATACCTATTACCCTCATATATCTATAACTACTATCCTCCAATGTGACCCCTTGCATTTGTAACTTTATTTTAACAAAAACAAAACATTCTGCTACAATGAATCACTATTTGCTTTGATTAACTTTGCTGGAGACAACTGTTCACTGTGCGGCAAAGATGCTGTCCGTTTAAGGCCCTGTCCGGGGAGAGAACTGACAGATGACAGTTTCTTCACCAGCGTGGGGTCTCTGTGAAAGCTGATGGAAACTTCCTCATCTACAGCTTGTTCTGTCTCCCCCTGACTCAGCCGCTTCAGAGTTTCCAGAGTCTCCTGATCAAAATCTGGTATTGTTGAGATCTGTGAAGCAAACAGCTAACATTTCAGTGATGTTTAAAGTGAGCAGGTAACATTTCAGAGATGTGTAAAGTGAGCAGGTAACATTTCAGTGATGTGTAAAGTGAGCAGGTAAGATTTCAGAGATGTGCAAAGTGAGCAGGTAACATTTCAGTGATGTGTAAAGTGAGCAGGTAACATTTCAGTGATCTGTAAAGTGAGCAGGTAAGATTTCAGAGATGTGTAAAGTGAGCAGGTAACATTTCAGTGATGTGTAAAGTGAGCAGGTAAGATTTCAGAGATGTGTAAAGTGAGCAGGTAAGATTTCAGAGATGTGTAAAGTGAGAAGGTAACATTTCAGAGATGTGTAAAGTGAGCAGGTAACATTTCAGAGATGTGTAAAGTGAGCAGGTAAGATTTCAGAGATGTGTAAAGTGAGCAGGTAAGATTTCAGAGATGTGTAAAGTGAGCAGGTAAGATTTCAGAGATGTGTAAAGTGAGCAGGTAAGATTTCAGAAATGTGTAAAAAGAGCAGATAAGATTTTAGATATGCATAAAGTGAGCGTATAAGATTTCAGTGACGTTTAAAGTGAGCAGATAAATTTCACAGATGTTTAAAATGAGCAGAGAAGATTTCAGTGACGTGTAAAAGGAGCAGATAAGATTTCAGAGATGTGTAAAAGTGAGCAGAGAAGATTTCAGAGATGTGTAAAGTGAGCAGACAGGATTTCAGAGATGTGTAAAGTGAGCAGATAAGATTTCAGAGATGAACGAACTTTATTGAATGAATTTTATTTTTCAAAGGGTTACAAATTGGGCACGCAGGCCGATCTTACATTCGGCCCTTCCAAAATTACATCTTATCACACATCAAAACTAATTAAATATTATTTCTTACCACACATCCCATCTTAATCAATATTATATTTTATCACACATCCCATCTTATTAAATATTACATCTTATCACACATCCCATCTTAATAAATACTATATCTTATCACACAGACCATCTATTTAAATATTAGATCTTGTCACATATACCATCTTATTAACTAATACATACATCTTTTCACACAAACCATCCCATCTTACCACAAATACATTTTACTACATACCACATAAATATCTTATCATGTACACCACATACACATCTTATCATGTACACCACATACACATCTTATCATGTACACATCATATCCCATATAGTGGCATTAGATCATTATCCAGCAATACTTACTGTGGACAATGTATCTGTCCCACTGGCTATTTTTGTCAGCTCTGGCATATCATCCAGGCTGACGGGGGTCAGTTCCCGAGTGTAGAACAAGATGTAGGCCTGGGATGCCAACACCTCTTCTAGAGGCACTAGCTGCACCCGGGAATCGTTACAGTGTAACCATGATGCTGGAATATTACAACACAGACAATTATTTGCAGAATGTTCCAAGCAAAAGAAGATTTTACAGGATGGAAGAATGTTTTGTCAATAGATCTTTGACAGCTGAGATCTTCTTCTTCTGTGTTTGCCTTTAAAAGGACATTTCATGTTGTGGTTTACAGCTAAGTTGGGATATCTGCACCTTTCAGCCAAGCACATCCGACCTCAGCAAACCCTAAATTAGTCACCTTTTAAGACATGCTTATTAAGGAGCGTTGCACCTGCTGTTCCACTCCTCAAAATGGGACATCAGAACCTATGTGTAGTCAAGGGGAGAAAGAGACTATCAGGCTACAGAGGTCATTCTAGACAGGTCACCCACAACTGCTCATTCTAAACAGGTCACCCACAACAACTCATTCTACACAGGTCACCCACAACTGCTCATTCTACACAGGTCACCCACAACTACTCATTCTACACAGGTCACCAACAACTGCTCAACCTACACAGGTCACCCAAAACTGTTCATTCTAAACAGGTCACCCACAACAACTCATTCTACACAGGTCACCCACAACTGCTCATTCTACACAGGTCACCCACAACTGCTCATTCTAAACAGGTCACCCACAACTACTCATTCTACACAGGTCACCCACAACAGCTTATTCTACACAGGTCACCCACAACTACTCATTCTATATAGGTCACCCACAACTACTCATTCTACACAGGTCATCCACAACTACTCATTCTATATAGGTCACCCACAACTACTCATTCTACACAGGTCACCCACAACTACTCATTCTATATAGGTCACCCACAACTACTCATTCTACACAGGTCACCAACAACTGCTCAACCTACACAGGTCACCCAAAACTGCTCATTCTACACAGGTCACCCACAACAACTCATTCTACACAGGTCACCCACAACTACTCATTCTATATAGGTCACCCACAACTACTCATTCTACACAGGTCACCCACAACTGCTCATTCTACACAGGTCACCCACAACTGCTCATTCTACACAGGTCACCCACAACTGATCATTCTACACAGGTCACCTACAACTGCTCATTCTACACAGGTCACCTACAACTGCTCATTCTACACAGGTCACCCACAACTGATCATTCTACACAGGTCATCCCCAACTACTCATTCTACACAGGTCACCCACAACTACTCATTCTATATAGGTCACCCACAACTACTCATTCTACACAGGTCACCCACAACTACTCATTCTATATAGGTCACCTACAACTACTCATTCTACACAGGTCACCCACAACTACTCATTCTATATAGGTCACCCACAACTACTCATTCTACACAGGTCACCAACAACTGCTCAACCTACACAGGTCACCCAAAACTGCTCATTCTACACAGGTCACCCACAACAACTCATTCTACACAGGTCACCCACAACAACTCATTCTACACAGGTCACCCACAACTACTCATTCTATATAGGTCACCCACAACTACTCATTCTACACAGGTCACCCACAACTGCTCATTCTACACAGGTCACCCACAACTGCTCATTCTACACAGGTCACCCACAACTGATCATTCTACACAGGTCACCCACAACTGCTCATTCTACACAGGTCACCCACAACTGCTCATTCTACACAGGTCACCCACAACTGATCATTCTACACAGGTCACCCAAAACTGCTCATTCTACACAGGTCACCCACAACATTCATTCACACAGTCACCCACAACTACTCATTCTACACAGGTCACCCACAACTACTCATTCTAGACAGGTTCTACACAACTGCTCATTCTAGACAGGTCATCCACAACTGCTCATTCTAGACAGGTCATCCACAACTGCTCATTCTAGACAGGTCATCCACAACTGCTCATTCTACACAGGTCACCCACAACTGCTCATTCTACACAGGTCACCCACAACTGATCATTCTACACAGGTCACCCACAACTGATCATTCTACACAGGTCACCCACAACTGATCATTCTACACAGGTCACCCACAACTGATCATTCTACACAGGTCACCCACAACTGATCATTCTACACAGGTCACCCACTAGTGATCATTCTACACAGGTCACCCACAACTACTCATTCTACACAGGTCACCCACAACTACTCATTCTCAGTTCTACACTAGGTTTCTATCCAGACAGCAATGCAGACTTATTCCAACAGCTCACTCTCTCTCTCTCTCTCACTCACTCTCTCTCTCTCTCACTCACTCTCTCTCACTCTCTCTCTCTCACTCTCTCTCTCACTCTCTCTCTCACTCACTCTCTCTCTCTCACTCACTCTCTCTCTCACTCACTCACTCTCTCTCTCTCACTCTCTCTCTCACTCTCTCTCTCACTCACTGTCTCTCACTCTCTCTCTCTCACACTCTCTCTCACTCACTCTCTCTCTCTCTCTCACTCCTACAACATGCCTGTTGGGAAGGCAGTGGGTCTATTCTTGTTTTCCCCCCCACAATGGGGCCCCGGAACCCACAGGGGGAAGAGAAATGATAACCTGCATCAGATGCAGTCAATTTTTATTCTTTATCATTTTTTTTTTTTAAATTGCATTACTTCCTGTATTTACCACTTTTGCAGTGTAGACAATGAAGTAAGTTTTTGAGCTTGAGATTTAGAGGCCGCACGGCTAGTGCTGTCGCCACGGACTGTGCATGTTAGGATTTTATTGTTCCCCCAGACAGAAAAAATCTTAGCCAGGATTTGAATCTGGGTTTCACGCAGGAGAGCCCAGCATTCTAAACTGTTCAGCCAGCCAATAATCTTCTTTGTCAAGAGAAGGGTAAAGCTGGAGTATGTTGTGACATCAGAAAAATTTGAAAAATTGAGGGGGGTAGGGGGAATGAAGATCAAGAAAAAGGTATCTTAGTAAGGTGTTAGAATACAGGAGAACATCTGTATCCAAAATTATTGGCAGTACACAAGACAGAAATCTGGACAGTCATGAATTACTATCAAAACATAGCACAGACTTCAAGATTCTTCTTCTTCTTCTTCATTCACCCTTACAACTGCAGTTGACACACTGTGGTGTGGTTTACAGGTAGACTGTGATATCTTGCAGTTGGGGGTGACGAGAGGTTCTGGCAGAAGCTCGAGGCTCAGGGGAAAGGCAAGACGGACGTTTTATCAGAAAGCTACTGGCAACATTAGTAACGGAACTCTTCGCTCGCTGCTGAAGATGGGGACGGATCGCTTATGGGAATGCCCCGAGTGCTGTGATGTCGGTTCTTGAATCAATCAATCTGAGCCTTTCAACCCAATATGTTCTATTTCAGCAAATCCCCAGATGTCTGTTATGACAAGCTTGATAGGGGAAAAGTGGGTCTATTCTTCTTTTCCCCCCGAAACATAGGGATTTGGAACTCGCACTTGGATGGACTGTTAGATGTAGAATTTAGAGGCAGCGTCAAAATATACCAACCTGCATGGATGTTGTAAGAGTAGGTTGTGTAGTGGCCTGATCTGAATCCTGCCCCATGATGCACCACAACCGAATGCAGACGGTACCTGGATACTTCCGGCGCAGTCTGACAGAATGGGGATATATCAAACTCTTCATCAAAGGCAACATGAGTTCCAATTTTCTCTCTATTGTTGCGACCAGACCATCTGAATCAAATAATACAGAATATGGTGTTTTTCAACAAAACTTTTAACAACAATACATTATCATTATCATCTTCGTACTACTGTTGGAATAAGAGCAGGAGATTAACGCTCAAGGCAGGTAAATAAATATCAATTTCTTACGCCTGTTTGTACAATCAAAATTGTAAACATCTATTTTTTTTTTTTATTTTATGAAGCAAATGAATGTTTTAAGACATTTACACAGCTCTTTCACTACAAATAATTTAAATTCTATCGCTTGTGTTGAGTCTGCAATCCAATAAGAGGACCAAACCATTTGATCGTCTGTTTCTCAATAAATTCGGTGCAAGGTGTTGTTTCGACAATCTGTTTGATAGTTCACTTCTCACTGAGCCCCGGTTAAGCTGGTGGCTTTTCACCATCACAGAGTTGAGAGGACTGACTTCACTGTCCCAGGTTTCCCCCATCTGGATCAGTCTCTCTCTGCACAATGTCAAGCCACCTGATAAGAGTGTTGCACAAAGCTCAAACTGAAAATCTGCCGCTGATCCCCAGAAGTCTTCATAAAAATTACACTCATGAACTGAATGACATGTCCGAGAAATGAATTCACAACCTTCAGAGCGCAAGGCAAATGGCTTGACCACTTGGCCACCGAGATTCCAGGTGTTTTAACAGATGCCATACTAGAAGGAAATGTTAAAGGCAGGGAAGCAAGAGAAAGACAAAGATACAAATCAAGAAATGGAAAAATATCAGAAGGCAGTATATACAAACATGAAAAGAGAGAAGGAAAAAGGTGCAAGAGAAGAAAAAAGGGAGAGTGATGGAGATCAAATGCACCCAACCTTCATATTGAATACAGAACCTGATTAACTAACTGACTGGTTATGGTAATGGTAATGTTAGTTTCAGCTTCATAGCAAATGGGTCACTCCATAGTTGCTCCGCTCCTGTTCCAACAAAAAACACACAGAATGCTCATCACAGTCCCTTGTGGAGAGATTGACAGACTGCTGTCTCAGCATATGCACCAGCAAACACACGCATTAAAAGCATACGGTGGCCATTAGAAGTGCTAACACAAACAGTCCAACATTAGAAATGCAGTTTATCATCGACGGCAGCAGAGGTAACCAACAAATCAGCAGTTGCACATGTGATCAATTTTAATCACATAAGAGCACCACAATATTGCGACAACAGGCATCGCACCATTTTCTCAATCTACAATTCACAACACCACATTGATCACAGTAGAGAAACATTCCAAATGAAATCTGCAGCTCACAGGGTCGCACCATGCACTCAACTCAGTACATGGGTGAGAAAACTATATCCTTTCAGTCTACAAATGGAGCAAAAATGCAAAGGCCACCGTCTGGCAGAAGCAAAAACTTTGCCAGGACTCAAAACAGTGACCGTGCCTAGCATCCATTTTGACCGGAAGTTCAAACTAACTGGTCCACTGAGCCATGATTGAATAATGACTCACCTGAAACGTTTTAAGTGTAGCCTGAGTATCTCTGGAGGTTTGCTAATCAACAACTGTTTCTTGGCGTCTGTCTTTATCTCCCTCTGCCTACTGGATCTCTTATGTGTACCTGAATAACATTCAACAGTAGAGTCACAATACTATATTCTGCAGTAGGCAAACAGTATGGACAGCCTACTGTATAGGGCACTTGAATCTTGAGCAAGCAAGACATCGAGGTTTCTGCTGAGAAGGAGCAGAAAAGGGAAGGAGACTGGAATGCTTAACAACAGTTAAGAGACAGACGATCTGCACTTCACTGATGACATTTCACTCCAATCCCACTGATGACATTTCACTCCAATCCCACTGATGACATTTCACTCCTGTCCCTCACAAAATCAGATGCAAAATAAATTAAACATAGATGAAAGAATCACAACAATCAAGTCTTAAAATCATTGGGGAAAGACAAAGATAATGAGAATAAAACAGGCAAACAATATTCTGAAATATGGAGTCAAACACCTATTTAGGCAGTAATGTGGATAAAGACATGGGAACAGATAGATATTACAATACAAATATAAAATGCAGGAGTTTTCATAGCCCTAGGAAATCTGTGGAAGTCAAAGGGAACTTAAAATATTTAGCTCCAATATCAAATCAGTACTGTTTTTACGGAGCTGAAACATGGAGAACTAAAAACAATTAACAATAAACTCCAAACATTCACTAACTGGTGCCTTCTCAGAGTAGAGTGAATCAGATTATATGATACAATCACTAATGTAGAGGTTTGAGAAAACTAAAACAATTCTGATGAGTCAAGAGGTGAAGAAAAGACAATGACTTTGGACAGGACATACATTAATAAAACATGGGAATATAACTAGTATGTCTTTGCACTGGAATTCACAGGAGCACAGAAATAACCGCAGACCCAAAAAACATGTGGAAAGAGGAGCTAGAAAGTGAAGCTGGGCTGCATGCAGTAGCGAAGGACAGGATGACTTGGCATGAGTTGGCTAAGGGCCTATGCTCCACTGGAGAAAATAAGGAAGAGAAGAAGAAGAAAAAGACAGATATAGGGAAACATGCGGACAGATAAACAGATGTATTTATCAGATGATTTGTGCCACAGCTATTGTATCAGCCTCCCTGTGTGTGTGTCATTATTTGCAATTAAAAGGATTATATGTAATTACATTTCAACATAACCCATGAGTGATTCAGACCAAGTCTTCTTCTTCTTCTTTTGTTCGTGCCACAGCTATTTTATCAATTTCCCTGTCGTTGTTAGTCATTATTTGCAATTAAAAGGATTATATGTAAAAGGTGCAGTTGTCATGCTCCTACTGTTACACATTTCCACAGGTGCACATGGCTATACACCCATGTGGTTGATCGGTTGTGCCCTGTTCAGACTTGTTCAAGTGATAAATAATGTCCTTCCCTTAGGATTAAAGATTTGATATTCTTTTCTTTTGGTGGAGTTGCTCTTTTGGCACCTTAACCCTGCCATTCACTTTCTCTTGCATGAGACAACCATTCACCTTCTTGCTGAGGACACAATTCACCTTCTTCAAGTAATTTGCACAACCATTCACCTTCTTACAGGATAACCATTCACCTTCTTGCAGGACAACCATTCATCTTCTTGCAAGATAACCATTCACCTTCTTGCAGGACAACCATTCACCTTCTTGCAGGACAACCATTCACCTTCTTACAGGACAACCATTCACCTTCTTGCAGGACAACCATTCACCTTCTTACAGGACAACCATTCACCTTCTTGCAGGATAGCCATTCACCTTCTTACAGGACAACCATTCACCTTCTTACAGGATAACCATTCACCTTCTTGCAGGACAACCATTCACCTTCTTACAGGACAACCATTCACCTTCTTGCAGGACAACCATTCATCTTCTTACAGGACAACCATTCACCTTCTTGCAGGATAACCATTCACCTTCTTGCAGGACAACCATTCACCTTCTTACAGGACAACCATTCACCTTCGTACAGGATAACCATTCACCTTCTTACAGGACAACCATTCACCTTCTTGCAGGACAACCATTCACCTTCTTACAGGACAACCATTCACCTTCTTGCAGGACAACCATTCACCTTCTTGCAGGACAACCATTCACCTTCTTGCAGGACAACCATTCACCTTCTTACAGGACAACCATTCACCTTCTTGCAGGACAACCATTCACTTTCTAGCAGGACAACCATTCGCCTTCTTGCAGGACAACCATTCACCTTCTTGCAGGACAACCATTCACCTTCTTGCAGGGTAACCATTCACCTTCTTGCAGGACAACCATTCACCTTCTTGCAGGACAACTTGGAAAAATATACTCATTTACATAACAAAGAGAAGAATGGCCATATTTCTGTTCTGTCAGAAACTACTAACGCTGTCATTGATATTTTTTTTTTTTTTGTTGAGGCATTTCATTAACAAAAGTTTTGCCTGTCATTCCCTTTACCCATCTGTTCAACCAGTCTTCTCTTGTGTTGTTTCTGAGCAATCTGTTCTGTTGTTCTCAAGCTACAAAAACTGTCCAAGTAGGACAGAGTGAGATATAGTGAGCATTTCTTAGATTAAAGGAGTGAAGACAAATGAGAGTGGCATGGCTGTATAAGGCCAAAACTCATCAAACTACAAAGATACAGTTGTTCCCGTGGGCTCCTGAGTCACATTTTGCCGGGAAAAGAATAGACTGACTGCTCCCCCCTCACAATAATGTTGTAAAAGGTGACAAATTAGGGGCTTTTCTTTCAAAGTTGGAGTGCCTCTTTCTGAAAAGGCGAGGAATCAACAGTCAGTAAGCCAGATCTGTAAAATGGATGTGTACATAAAACTCAAATTCTGGAACAAGAAAAAAGTCCTAAAGTGGACGAACAACCAAAATTTTCTGCCAGATTTTACAGCCAGTGAAAGCTGAGAACAAAATGGGAAGAAACATACAGAGCACTGCTAGGCACTAAATGATTCAGACAAAACTGTCTGCTTACAAGAGTTGGGTAGAATTTCAAGTACTAACACAACAATATAGACTAGGGATGAAAACAGATTTGATGAAGGAAATAAAAAAGAGACAAGTGAAAAACATTCACCATGTTAAAAGACATGACAGACTTATTAAAAACCATACTGAAGGGTAAAGTTGGAGACAGGCAAGCAAGAGGTAGAAAGCAATACAAGTGGAAAGGTAACATCAAGAGATGGACAAACAGCACTCTAAGAGGGGGCAAGATAAAGAGTGTGTAGGAGATCATTTGCAGCCCACCTTCAATGTAGAGATGAAATGACCCCCTGACTGGCTGACTGACTGAACACAATGTATCCCATATACAGTGTATCTTGATAATATTCCACCATGTCATGATTAACAGTTGCTAGCCAATTAATTTAATAATACTTACTTATTTACTAACTTAGTCAATTCTCTTCTATCCTGGGGTGTAGAGGTTTGCCAGAGAGATCGCCAGACTTCTCTATCTGCAGTTTACTTTCTGGCTT